TCGTACACGAGGTGTCGCCAAGGTGAGGTGTCGCCTAGGTGTGAACCTAGCCCAGGCGTAGGCAACCTTGGCTCTCCAGCTGTGCTGAAACTACAAATACCATCATGCTTCTGCCTCTGTGAGTCATGCCTGTGGCCTACAATGCCTTACGGGATTTGTAGTTTCAGCACAGCTGGAGAGCCAAGGTTGCCTACCCCTGACCTAGCCTAATCCAACGTTCTACTATAAGATTATTCTTAGCAAGTTGTTACATTTCTCTGTAGCAAAGTAAAGTTACACATGAGATGTGTAGTAGCTCAGTAGTCCTGCTTGTGTAGCTCACTCCATTGGGTGCTATTTATTCCGTTTGACGATCAATTGCTACTCCTCATGATAAGTCAGAAGATATTTTAGTAGGCAGGTTCAGCTACCAAAGATCTCCAGTGTAGCTCTAGGGAAATCGTCTATGAGAAATGTATAATTAGGAAAGCAGAATCAGGTGTAAGCTATAACGTGACTACTGAGTATATATATCACCTGAGCAACTTCCCATATTCTGAGGGATCTCTGGTGTCTTAGTATTTGAGGAACTGGTTTCTGTGGTATGGCATGTTATTAGTTTCTTATTGTAGGTGACTTTTTTTTTTTTTAGCTGTAGTTGCAGAAATACTTCTCTAACTAATAGAAAGTTGCATGTTCATACTGATGGCTTGTGACTAGTTGCCTGTTATGCTGAATGTTAGACAGCACCATGCGACACAGATCTCAATGCAAATGCTGGCTATCACTCTAAAGAGGATCTTCATCCCCCTTCCTATTAACATATATAATTATGAAATCTATATGTTTAAACGTGTATCTTTTTTTTATTCCCTTTCCACCTGTAGAGTGACGGTTTGCTTTTGTTAGCAGGCTTTCAACTACTGCTGAAGCCTTCAAGCAACTTGTTAAATGATGGCCAGAACTCATAAGATCTGTGTTTTTTAAGATTGGAGCTGATGACATTAAAAGGCAAAAGCTGATTGAAAGCTTTGCAAATGCTCTGTATGCATATCTTCTATGAACTGAAGCCTGTGTACAAGCTATGGGATGTTCAACTAAAAGTATTGCAAGCATGTAAGGTTTGCATTATAGTGCAGTTTGGCAATGGTTGGTGCTCAAACAGTGCCAAGTATAGTGCTATTTGGTGTAATGGTAGTACCTGTGGGGGGTTAATTTTATATGATGGTGCTGTTTTGGCTTCCATTAGTGCGATTTGGCTTTTCATAAGTGTAGCAGCTGCTGACTCTTGAGGTTGATGTATTTTATCATGCTGTGGGAAACTTTTATTCTGGTTAACTGTTTTTTCACCTAGCTAGTTATAGGTTCCTATCCTGACTGGTCATATCGTTAATTGTTCCTAGAACTTGTATTTGTTATAGAAGGCATCACTAAATATTGTTACAAACTGAAATAGTCCCAGTGGCTAACACATGTTTGGTTCTTCAGGCTCTATTCACATGTGTGAATCTGCCCATCTTGGACAGGCAGATCGTACTTGCGATCATCGCAAGCCCTCCCCACTGAGGGGCGGGCATCCGATGACTGCAATGCTGAGCTGCCCGCTCACACCGCTTGCGCACACCGAACCATTCGGCATTTGTCTTACGAGAATGCCACAAACCTTCTGACCAATCATACGATTCTCGGCGGGTTTTTGAGCCTGCCCGTAAGACGAGACGTGAGACCGTACAGTAGAAAGGGCCGCACGCCTTCCATACACCTGCCGATTATCGTACCATTGTGGGATTTCCCCCGGTTATCGTATGATCGGGGGAAATCCCATGATGGTAATGTTAATGGATCCTGTACTGTCCCTTGGCATCATTTATGGAGCAGTTCCTATGGCAACCAATCATCTTCTCTCCAGTTTGTTCAGTTAAGGTTTGAAAATGAAAGGTAGAAGCTGATTGGTTGCCATGCACAGCTGCTCCAGTTTTGATAAATCCCCCCTCAATGTATCTTATTTGTGTATCACTTGACTGTGGATCCTCAAATTATCTCTGAATTGGTGCTGACATTGTCCCTTTTTTTTTTTTTTTTTTTTTTTTTTTTTTTTTTGGAGGGGTGTTACTTTTGTTCCCTATGATTCCTGTGTGTTGTATTGTAAAGTAGTCATCGCTCCAAGCTCACTCCTGTAATGGACTTTATCCTACATAGAATATAGTAAACTAAATGTGAGATTGTAGTCCTATCACAGGAAGGAACTCCTTAGCTTAGTGTCACTTTAATGTCTGTACATAGCTGTGAAAGGAATTTCAAAGTTCACTTGTGACTATGGACATTTAATCACGTATTCTTGTCCTCGTGACTATTGTTGTTGGGACAAAGTGCTAAGAAATCCAGTTTTCCCTGAACAAGAAATGAGAATCTTCCAATGGGGACACCTGTTCTAGTGACACCTAAGAGGGAAATTCTTCTTCTTTGCAGTGATTTATTCACTTTTTATTCACTTTTTTTTTATTGAATTTAAAGGAGAACTATGAGATGAGTGATTTCCACTCACCTCATAGTTCTAAGCCGACCTGTGACAATGAGACTGTCACAGGTCGGCTCAGTAGATCGGGAGGTGAGGGAACACATACCGGGTTCCCTCACCTCTCGATCCTGTCACGGCTCTCTGCCGTGACAGGGGGAGGGGCTGGATTCCCCTCTCCCCGCTCCGATCTGCCAGCGCTGACTGGCGGAACGGACGGGGGAGGGGGCGGGCACAGCTGGCTCTGCCTCTAGATAGGCAGAGCCAGCTGTCACTCACGCAGCTGGGCGGATCCCGTCATCTAAGTCGGGATCCGCTCCAGGTGCGGCGTCTCAGTATACCGCGAGCTGTAGCTCGCGGTATACTGAGCTTAGGGTGACTGGAGGACGCTAGTTTGTGTCCTCCCTTTACCCCAAGGAGAACTATGGGGAAAAACACTGACCCCATAGTTCTCCTTTTAAAGGATTTGTCTTTAGTTTCAAGAGCTCTTATGCAACCACCTTGCCTACCTCTAGATTCCTCTGCCATTTCCTTCTGACAATAAACAGCCATTATATCAGCTAAAAGTGTCCACTTCTACATGCTCCGCATAGGATGTCTTCCAGCACTGCAAAATGAGCCAGGAAATGCAGCAATCTGAGTGATTACCTAAATAGAGAAGCTTAAAGAAGAACTATGGGGTCAGGGCTTTTCCCCATAGTTCTCCTTAGGGTAACGGGAGGACACAAACTAGCGGCCTCGCGTCACCCTAGGCTCAGCATACCGCGAGCTGCTGCCCCTTTCCTACTTTATCCAAAAATATCATTACTCCCAAACACTAACTGTAACAATAAAATATATATTTAGAAAAGTGATCTATGGCCAAATATCTTGGGGAGGGTGGTTGGAGACTGCAAGAATTCAAGTGGGTCAGTGTTCGTTACAATAATTTAGAAAGCAGCCGGAGTAGAAGGCACTGTCCCTTGCCAGCATATTTCAGAGAATGACCCTCTGCAGAGGCCCACATCCATCCCCCCTCCCCCCTTGCTGAGGCAAGAACAGAACACCCCAATTAGCAGGGAGAATGAGCTTTTTCAAATCCTAATCTATAGGTCTGACTCTGCAGAGAGACTATTACTTTGCACTGAGCATAAGGTCCTTTAAAGCATGATGGCAGAGGACAGGCTTTTCTACTGTCTGTGGCTACTTTCTGAAGGAACATTGAGACTTTGCACAACGTTTTTGTTTTATTGTACCTTCAATGAGCTAATAAATGCTTTTTACCCGATGCACTGAGTTTGAGGTCTGTTAGGAAATGCAATCTAAAGTTGTTTCCCCCTTTTGCAGCCAAATTTGAGAAATCCACACTATGGGGTCAATTTATAAACCATGTAAATATCGCTGTTTGGAGTGAACAATGCCAAAATTGAGCATTGGTGGGCCCCCCCCCCAGTTTGCATGAACTGTGATGTATTACTACCTTTTCTTCACTAGATGGGAGTTTAAAAGCATTTGAAATCTATTTTTCCAATGCTCTTCAACTCCATCTAGTGGCCATAATGAACTATTAAATCACAATACATTTGAACTGGGAAAATCTCTTAAAGTGACATTAAACCCTCAGATTTTTTAACATAAACCAATACTGTAATGTGCGCCTTACTGCAATCCATGGTTGTTTCCCTTCTCTTTGCTGCTCTTCCTTTTTAAATATGTCTTCTCATTCTGGGGGAGAACTTCCCTTTGCAGCTGAGTGCCTCTTCCTGTAGTGCTGGCTCAGGTTGTGAACCTTCACACAGACACCATGTATCCATTCCAGAGACAAGGCAGTTTGCTGCAAAACAGAAGTTCTGCCCAGCATGAGAAGAGATACAGATTTAAAAGGAAGAGCAGCAAAGAGAAGGGCAACTACCATGGATTACAGTAAGGCGCACATTGCAGTATTGGTTTATGTTAAAAAAATCTGAGGGTTTAATGTTCATTTTGGCATTATTCCCCCAAAAGTAAAATTCAGATATTTACAGGGTGATGGGATGGTGACTATTTTATTTTCCTGTTTCTTACAGGATTATACATGGGACTCAATAGGCAGCTTCTAGTGGTTAGAATATATGCCAGTGCACAGATTGAGGAGTTTTTAATAAAGTGCATTAACATACATTGCCTTGAGATCCTTTTGTTAGGGCAGACTTTCCTGTTTATCTAGTTTACAGGTGATAATTAAATTTGCCAGCACAATGTATACAGGGTTAGTTATTTGCAACCCCCTTTCCCCAGCCCTCAGTGAGAACCAAGCAGGAATTTTCAGTTCTAGAGTTTCCAGAATGGAAAGTCTGAAAAGGAAGGAATTTTTTTTTTTACTATAAAATGGTGTTTTCCCAATTTGGTTGCACAAGTTCAAATATACTTTAAGCATTGTGACTAGCCAGCTCTTTGCTCTAAGAGGCAAGTTCAAGTGTTTACTTTTGTAACTGTTGCCAATGTCTGATCACGTTAACTCTGGCTTAACAGTCTCTTCACTAGATTCATTGGAAATTCCAGAAATGAAGTCTTCTCCTGCAACTGTAAAGAGAATGGAGGCCATGAGCAAGAACATTCCTCAAAGGACTGTGGGACGAATGATGAGGGCAAAATACTCTAATTATATCTACAGGGTAATAAAACAGGTAGGAGCTGCAGTGTTACATTGAACACACAAATTGCAGATTCACGTCATTTAGTGTTTCTACCGGTGTGGGGGGGGGGGGGGACAAGCTTGAATCTCTAAAATGTTTGTAAGTTAAAAATAAAATAATTGAACATATTTTTAAATATCATTTTATATATCCATGGGGACAGCCATATTTGCTTATTGCATGGATACGCTGCTGATGCCTTGCTGATCTTTCCAAGACTACAAAACAGGGTCTGTCTGGTTGAAAATGGAACTCTGCAGTGTTGTGCACAATGCTCCTGGAAGAGGAAAACCATGTGATCATTGCCTAGGCTTTGTCACATGAGGGGGTTGGAACAATCAAGGTTTTTTCAGTACTTGGCATGTGCTCTATAGACTGACTTTATTGATCAGACAATTTTAAGTGTTTAGTGACCTCGCTAGCTCCTAACTAAAACAATATATTTCGATTACACGGCGTGCTTGATGTCCCCAACTGTATATTTCAATTACACGGCGTGCTTGATGTCCCCAACTGTAGTCTCCTAGATTTCTGTGAACTTCTCATGCAGAAGGAATAAACGACTTGTATGATGTATTTGCCTTGATCTGCTGTGACTAGTTCACAGTATTAATGGCTGTAATCCCCAGATCTCATTCTTGGGAGTCATTTCTCACGGTTCGCAAATATGTTGACTCTTATGAAAGTTCCTGGCAGGCAGTGGCAGCTTGGCTTGGATCAGAGCAAGGTGACAGACTTGGTGACCTGAAGTTCCTTCTACCCAAAGTAGGATAGCTGGCATAGTTGAGATTGTATCTGTACGCTTTGTCAGAATAGTCTTCAATAGGGACCATTTTTCTCTAATGGCTCCCACACTTAAATATTCTCCCAATAATGTTCACAGAAAATGCAAGATCTGGGCTTTGCTTTGGATTGCACCGCTGGAGGTTGGATGTAGACTATGTAAATTATTTATACAGTGCTGACAATTTACGCAGCGCTTTACATAGTTCCACATTACTCCCTGCCCTCAAGGAGCTTACAATCTAAGGTCCCTATCTTGCATACAGGGCCAATTAACCTACCAACATTGTCCTTGGGGGTGTGGGAGGGAACCAGAGTACCCGGAGGAAATGCAAGCATAAGGAGAGCATGTCAACTCCTTCCAGATGGTGACTTGCCAAGTATTCCAACCAGGGACTCCCAGTGCTGCAAGGCAGGAGTGCTAACCACTGTGCTGATGTGCATGCTTCATGTAGCTTGTCATAAGCCTCTGTTGGTTTGAGTTTTCTTGGCAAGAAGCATTTCTCGTTGGTCAGTTGACTGTGCCATTTGTGAGCAATATTCAAAATGCAGAGTGCAGGGCTGCGCTGCCATGTACGGAGTATGGATAACACACTGGCACCAGAGGGAAAGGAGAGTTTGACCTAAGGTAAGTATAGCAAGGGGGGGGGGGGAGGGGGTAGGAGAGGGGGCCAGATTGGAGGGGATAATTCTATTTTCCCTAATTCACCTGACAAAGTAAAATTACCCTTTAAGGAGAAATTGACAGTTGTGTCAAGTGTTTCTTAAAACTATACACGGAGAACCTGTCTGGTCAAGTGCATGCATTTCACCATCACGATTGCTTATCCCTTACAAAAACACTGCAGCAAGTACAGGAAGATACCTGTTGATCTGCCATAAATCTAGCAAACCATAACTAGTGAGCTGCCTCTGCTGCAGTAAAATCCCAAGCAGTGTTGTTCTCCTTGCCCAGTTCTCCATCTGAACTACAACACCTCCACTTTCCCTACCTTCATACCATAAGGAGGAGGTGTTCTGCAGTTTAGAAGCATATCATGCGGGCCAGGGCTGACACTGCTTGGGATTTCTGTGCAGCAAAGGAGTCTCTAGCAGGGAGTTCTCCCAGATTAAGACCTCTACCCCAAAGTAGGGTCTTTGTAATGCTCGATAAAGAGAACCTGTAGTAAGGAGTTAAAAAAATCTTGCATTGTCTACAAGTGGGACAGGGTTTTTTATTTTAGGGAGGAAGGCAGGTAGTGCCAATGACTAGTGCAGAGATCTTGCCACCAGCATCTGGAGACCCATCTAGTGGAACTTTTCTTCAATTTTGTAGTACATCTAGTGTACTTAAAGAAAACGACCCATCTTGATGGTAAATATAGAACCTTGTATCCAATTTTGATGACCGTAAATGTCCAAGTTCCTGTGCAAATGCAAGCTTGTTGGAACTGTATTGCAGAGGGCACTTGGCACCCCATGTAGCAATTTTCAGACCTGGTGATGGGGGTCCTCCCATAGTCTGGAGTTTTTAGGAGCCCTGGTAGGAATTGCTAACTTTCTTGTAAAATGCATTATGCAGAGCCTTGAGGGTATTTGTAAATGCGTTTTTGCTCTTGATTAGGTCAACAGTTGACTCTGTACCCCCCCCTCC